GTGCCGATTTGAGCGATGGGATATTTTGCCTTCAACTTGAGCCGATCATCGTTTTTGTTTGTTTTCGTTTCCCCAGTCAGTATCATCATTAAACAAACATAGGATTTGGACTCTGACCTTATTGGCTCACTCTCGTTGATGACGACATAGGTCCTTTAATATATCTCCAAAACAGAGAACACGCAGAGTTCATGAAAAAGTACAACCTGGAGCTGTGTGTGTTAGTCAATTGTCCTTCCCCCGCACCTCCGATTAGCGCGGTTGGCTACGTACTGTGCGAAAGAAGTTCGGCTTACATGCACACACCGCAAACTCTGGTCATCCTCGCAGCAGCAGCGGCTTTTGGCTAGCCATCAAACAAAGACGGTCACCACATCGCGCGCTTTCAGATACACTTCTGCGGCCGTCTGGAACGCTCTTCCGATTGTAGGAAGTCACAGGAGCTGTGCACTTTTACATTATCTACATTGACAAACTCATTTCTTTAGAACTGCTTTTTTGCGTGTGAAGTTTGTTGTCCTTCCCCCGCACCGCCGATTAGTATGGTTGGCTACGTACGGTGCGAAAGAAGTTCACCGTACACGCATACACACGTACGCACGTAGTTGCCACAAGTGTGCACACTGGCCCAGTGGCAAGAGTGCTCGCAATGTCCGCTGCCTATTGCACACCGTGGGACCTCTCACGCGTGCTGTGCGCGCTGCATTGCGTTCTGCCGAAGGCTAAGCGGTGCCTTCTTTTTTTTGCCGCCCAGCGTTTAAACCCGTCGGGGGTCCCGGAGTTTCTTCCTCGCCCTTTGGTTTCCGTTCGGCAACGCCGTTCACCGCGACCAATGTTATGACCTATTTATAGAATCCGCGCAGTGAGCAGAACGGTTGCCGGCTTGGGAGAGTGGGGTAAAGGTGGTCTCGATTGTTAAAAAAAAAGAATCACACGTGGAAGAAAATTTCCTCGTATTGCTGTACATGATAAAAAAACACATCGTCATAACATCATGGCTTGTTGTCATTCACGCGCAGACCTCAATGCCAAGTAGAGTCAAAGTGTCTTCGCGCTCAAAACACGCGCGTGGAACAGGCACTCGTCTCCACTGGTCGCCCTGGGCCCGTTGTGGACTTTCCACATTCCTATGGTCGAGACCAGCCTCTCCCGAGAACAAGCAACTGTTTTATTACCACAAATTGGTATTAATTTTATGGGCCCCCAGAGGGATGACAGGTTGGGCTAATTTTTTATGAAACCAGTCTTGTCATTTGTGAATTGAGTGCTCTAACCACAGTACTATCATACATTATAACAACATCACAATGTTATTAATGTCATTACATAATAAAGGTTTTTGGGTTAGATCGCGTTATTGTAAATATGTCGCAACCCTCTACCACCCGACACGGCCAATCAGTAAAAAATGTGTCACGTTGATAAAACGTCTGTTTGAAGAGTGGATCGACAATTTGAGTAGTACGACGTTTCGCTGGTAATTACATCCAGCATCTTCAAGCAATTTGCCAGAATAGTGAAGCCATCCACCTGCTTCCGGTCTTAAATAGTGCAGGATGACGTCATCATTGTTGAACCCCATCAGGATTCGAGATCAGATGCGGGGATTGGGGGGGTGTATGCAGTTATGTAATAGATCAGTAATCAGCCACTTAGCATGTGACTCCTTTATAAGAAATTGCAATATGTATTGTGTATTTTTACACTTACGCAAGAGGAAGGTCCAACTGAATTAAATAATGTATTATGCAAAGTAGCTTCAAATGCGACGTTTCTTTACAGAAAGTGACGGTAAATATAAATCTGTGCAGCACAGTGCTACATCCGTGCGTGACTTCACTTCAAAATAGCTCCCCACCCTTCATTAATATTCATGCCCGCGTGAAAATTTACACGAATGCACAAGAAGATCGCACACTCCACATGCCGCACCCCTCCCTTCATTAATAATCATGAGCGGGTGACGTCACTCCACATGCCGCACCCCTCCACAATAACCATTAACAGGTGACGTCACTCCACATGGGGCAAACCCCCCCTTCATTAATAATCATGAGCTGAACAATTTTTTATTTGAATATTTCAGATTTACTGCAACAAGAGACACCGGTCCTTGGACACACACATTTAACATTGGACATCAACAGCAATGGTCACTAAGTAGAACAGGATTGGCCACATTTACCAATACGGTATTCAGCGACTGCTCTGTTTGCACAGTCGACTGCAAACCAGAAGGGTTGAGTGTTGTGTCGGCAAGATGTTAACTCCCTCGCCTGGTACGCAGGATGTCGTGGGTTCGATCCCAACTCTGATGACTCTATATTTGGAGTTTGCATGTCTCCCATGGTCGCGTGGAATTTTCTCCGGGTCCTCCGGTTTTTCACTCCACATTTAGAAACATGCGTTTAGAGTATCTGGCCGCTATACATTTCCATGCGATAAGCCATTTGGCTGAGCTATCATTTGTGATAGCCAGGCCGTGTCTCAGAGAGAGCTACATAGCTCAGTGGGCCTTACCCGGTAAATAAAAAAATAGTGTTTTGTATCTTTCCAAAGTCAATTAAACCAGTACCACATTGTAGGAAGTTAAGAGTGGTGTTTATAAATGTGTGATTTTAACAACGGGTTCATTATGGCCACGATCACCACAGGCTCACTTGAGCAGGGAGTCACTTTGGGCCTGATTCATGCGCAATTTGTGTTTCACGTATTTTGCGGAATTTTTGCACTTGCCAGAAGGTCTGCACATATTTGGCAGACACTTTCTGCCATCGTTGGCTCCGACGCAACCCTGCCCTGACCCTGCGAGCTCAGGCCACTGTGGAATTGGTCGTGGGTTCGATCCCGACCCTGACAACTACTGTATAGTTTAACACATAGGCTTTCTCGGCCAATATCATCCAGGGTTTTTTTGGGGGGGTTTGATCATGTAAATATATATTTGAAATTGTATGTCTCTCTCCCTGCGGTCGCGTGGATTTTTCTCCGGGTCCTCCGGTTTTTCCCTCCACATTTAGAGTCAACATCACGCGCTTAGAGTATTTGGCCTTTGCTATAAATGTCCACGTGGTAAGCCACTTGGTTGACCTCTCATTTATGATAGCCATGTCGCTTCTGAAAAAGAGTTGTGTAGCTCAGTCGGTCTTACCTGGTAAGATAAAAGATTGTTTTATAGTTAAAAAAAATGGTGGATTAGGTGAGAGTTTCGTGTGGTCATGACTGCACGTGAATAGAAAAATGCGGAATGGGGCTGTTGCAAAAATTGTAGGCATTCCACGACAACTTGGCAGAATAATGGCCAAAATAGCGACATGAGTCAGGCCCTTTGACATTGACTGTCATCAGCTTGTCACCGTGAGGTTTCTGTTTAAAACACACGCAACAATAATAGATGGTCCTTGTCTGCCTGTGACATCGCCTGTGCTTTCAGAAGCGGCGCTCGCGCAGACGTGCGCTTCTTTCACGCTGTAGACAGGCCGCGCGATGATGATGATGATAGTAATAATGGTGGCACGTCTCTCAATCGTGCATCACTTGCCCGCGTCCGAATCGCTCGGGCTGCTCGCGGCAGCAGTCCGCCGCGCAGTGCGGTCGCAGCTGAGAGATAGGCTTCTCTTGATTTTTTACGACTTTGTTTTGTGTTCGATCTTGTGAAAGGTCCGGTTACACTGACAAAAAACCCAACAAGAGACACACAATGAAGGCAAAGCAAACAATTCGGCAATTTCCTGCAGCTTGTGCACCTTCCTTTCGAGTTCTGTATTCGCACAAAGCCCCCCCACCCCCCACCGGAGCCCATTGGAGTCTCGGCTGGCTGCGTTAGGCCGGTGTTTATTTTTGTTCACGTCTGATGCACTTGCTCTGCAAACACAGCGTGGAGCCGCACTTTAGACGTTCCGCACCCTTTTCTTCTGTCTCCTCGTGTCGCCCGGGTCGGACGGTCAAAATGTTGCCCGCCGAGCTCAAAATATCTCTCTCGGCCCACGCTCATCTCAGTGTTGGCGGGGGGGGTGGACCGGTCACCTCCGTAAGTACGACTGCTGACGACGCCCCACAATGTGGTACTTGTCTGCGTGACCCTGGGGAGATGATGGGCTGAGTTGACCTCCCCCCACCCCCTCCCCCCCGTCTGGGATTTTTTATTTGCAACCTTCTCCGCACGAGCCGCTGCCACAGAGACAGAGATGCCCGTCTGGACGTTTACGTCGTTTCGCAAACACGTCGTCACTTTACTATGAAGACCGCCTCCTGCCTGATTTGCGTCGCCTCAACCCACACGCTCACGTCGCTGACAGCATCGTCGTCCGTCCATTCTCGTTATCCATCGCCACCACCCACTACTATCAGAGCGATGTACTACCCTGTACGATGCTCTGATTGGCGTCGTTTCGATATTTGTCGTCGAACCTTTCAGGAACGCATCCCCGACGTAATCCCGGGGGGTGGGGGAGGCGAGGGGCGGGTATGACCGCATCTCCCTGTGTGTGCGAGTGATCAAATAATCGCAGTAACCTGGGTCCCTCTAAACCAGCGGTTGTTAGCCTGGCAGATTATTTTAGAAGGTAAATCATCAAAACACAACTTAAGCAGGGGCACGTAAGTACAACTGATTTGTCTCATCAAACCCTATGTATTTGTTAACATTATATATTAAAAAAATACATTTGCGAACCCAAGGTTGTGCAAGGCTTGCAGTAAAGGTTAAAAACCACTGCTCTAAATCGACTGACTGATGCAGAGTGGCTTGTCGACATCAACGCTGCCAAGACAAACGCCACCGGATGTGCTGCTGGCCGATGGCTGATGCCAGTTGAGTCGACCCCAGACAGGGAGTCAATATTGTGACCTCCTCAAGCGCGCTGGCCACAGCGACACCGGGGACAGACGCGCCGCGACCCCCCCCCCCTGACCTCTCTCTCCCCCTTGACCTCTCCTCCCTCTTGACCCCCCCCTTGACCTCTCACCCTTGACCCCCCCCCCCGACCACCCCTCCCCAGGTGCTGCAGAGGCTGCAGAGGGGAGGCGAGCGGCTGCCCTGCCCCCCCTCCTGCCCGCGCGCGCTCTACGAGCTCATGCTGTGCTGCTGGCACCTGGCGCCGCACCAGCGGCCACCACTCGGCCGCCTCGAGGGACGCGTGGCCCAGGTGGGAGCGCCAGCGCCCGCGGCGGCGGCGTCACGGCTCCCTCCATCCCCCTCCCTCCCCTCCCTCCCCCTCCCTTCCCTCCATCCCCCTCCCTCCACGTATACCCCTACCCAACGGGCCACTCCTCCTCTTCCTCCCTTGGCCTCCCATCATCATCATCATACCAATCATCATCATACCAATCATCATACCAATCATCATCACCATCGTACTCCCTCCCAGCGCGGTGTCGCACGCCAGCCGCGGCCTTCCCTTACGCACGTGGACCGTTCGGATCGGCCCCCCGGGGCAGTCACCGGTCTTAACTCTCCGTAATAACAAAACAAATGTTGGGTTAGATGGTGTGAATATAAATGTTGTGCCGTTAAACCCGCCACCACCCGACACAGCCAATTAGTAAGGTTTGTCACGTAAAACGTGCCAGTTAGCTGCTAGTTCAGCACACCGGTTTGTTGGAGAGCAATCCCACAACATTTACGTCCAGCGGGGGCATAAATTAATCCTATGGCGGGACCCTGCTATCACCAATAAATGGAAGTCAAAATCTCAATTAATTGATTTATTTTTGGCGACTCCGTCCCACTGCGCTCTTAATCGCCGCGACCCACCTGGCGCGGATCATTCTGTTGTGACGTCGTGTCCAAGCGCAGCAGCGAGGACGAATGCGCAGAAGAGCTGAACAAGCGAAACTTTGATTAGCGCATCGTGTCGAGCTCGTCGAGAGGAATAGATTGCCGTATTGTTCGCCTTCAACAGACATAAAATGACGTCACAACGCAGTTTATGTGAGAGCCGGCGGCTTATGGGACCCCGGGGTCCCACCATAAGGGTCATATGTTGACCCGCCACCGCTGAGCGTCTGCTGAAAAGAGCTTCATAGCTCATCGGATTCATCCAGTAACACCACTGCCCGCACTGATCATATGTCTATGTTGTATATCACTGTTAGGCTGTAGGTCCCTGTGTGAGGCTGTAGGTCCTGGTGAGAGTCTGTAGGTCCTGGTGAGAGTCTGTAGGTCCCTGTGTGAGTCTGTAGGTCCCTGTGTGTGAGTCTGGAGGTCCTGGTGAGTCTCTGTATGGGTCTTTAGGTCCCTGGGTCTCTGGGTCCCTGTGTAAGAATCTGTAGGTCCCTGTGTGAGTCTGGAGGTCCCTGTGTGTGTCTGTAGGTCCCTGTGTAGGTCTGTGAGTCTTTCTACAGGTCTAGGGGTCTCTATATGAGTTGATGTGTCTCTGTGTAAGTCTATGAATATCTGTGTGAGTCTAACATCTCACACCACAACCCACGCAGTATAACATCACGGCCCGATTCGAGCAATGACCAGCAGCGTTTCAAATGTTCATGTGTGTATGTTGAACTTCTTTTGCACCATACTTAGCGAACCGCGCTAATCGGAGGTGTGGGTGAAGGGCAACAAACTAAACACAAAAAGCAGTTTTGAAGAAATTAGTTTGTCAATGTAGATGCTTTAAAAGTGCATCACAGCTCCAGTGGCTTCCTGATATCGGAAGGAAGAGCGTTCCTGACGGCCGCAGAAGCGCATCTGAAAGCGCCGTGCGATGCGGTGACCCACCGCCTTTGTTCGATGACCAGCAGCCAAAATCCGTCGCTACCACGAGGACGACTGAAGTTTGCGTGACGGTGGTTTACGCTCCTTGACGAAATCAGCGAGGTTCACGGTGAGGCTACCCCCGAAGCGACGCTGTGGGTCACTCGCCACCCTCGACACGGACGTAGAACCGCCGCGGATAGACTCCCCACGATGCGGAAGAAGACCAGGACTCCCAACAAAACCATCGATGGAGACGCGATGCAGAAAAAAACAACAAACCAAGGGCGGTCGTCCATTTGATGACAGTTTTTTGTTTTCAGGCAAAATGCATTCAGATTACTGAAGATGCTGGAGATAAAAAATGATGGTGCCTCATGTGGTTTCGACACGAATTAGGCGGGCAGGTGATGACATTGGCAAGGGGTAGAATGAAAAAAATCTGAAAAGTGAGCAAGGTAGCAGACATGGATGAGAGGTGCTACACGTTTGGAATTATGCTGACAGACAGTAGGTTGGAGCACGTGGATTAGCGAACGAACGCAAGTTTGGGACGTCACGTTACCTGGTACGTAAAGTGAATGGGATTGGGTGGGGCGCGTTGCAAGATGGGATGACGGCCCGCGGTCAAGACTAACAACCAATTGGCAGCCAAAGGAGTGAAGCCACGCCAGAGAGATTGTCCACCGTGGAGATGGAGTCGTGAAATCAACCCCACGTGCGGGTGCTAGAGATGGATCGTTTCATCGCAGGATCACGAGAGACGGTGATGACTTGCGAAGGACTTCAACCAGCAGTGGGTTAACTACGGTCGACGACGACGATGATAATGATGGATGATGACGACGGTGCTGGTGGTAAAATGAAAATCGGATTAGCTATAATGACGGGGGGGGGGGGGGTGCTTGGGGGTAATGTTTACCCGGCTGGAGGTTTGCTAGCACTGTACACATTGTGTGGCCGGAGTTTCACTGGTGTCAGGACTCTTGGCTCACGATAAGGGGGAGGCGGAGTGGCGGTGGGGTCGTAACCTTTAAGCCCCCCTGTGTCCCAATGCTGAGTTCTGACGCTCCGTGTTCAACGGCAGGTGCAGCTCCGGGTCGCGTCAGCTGACGGTGATTCTCTGCAGCTGGATGGAATCGCCCGCTGCGCCGACAGATCCTCGGCCCCCGCTGGCTACAGGTGCTCGCGTTGCCCTTCCCTCCCTCTCTCTCCTCCCCCCAGTGGAGAGGAGGTGGGTCCCAGCCGCACATACGAACGGACGTTGAGACAACGCTGTCGACGTGCCCCGCGACCCACCTGCCGGTCACCGCACCGGAGGTTGTAACTCTAAGGTTGTACCGCACGTACGTCCGGCCAGCCGGCACCACGTCCGACGTTTCGTGGCCGTGCCCTGGATACAGCAGCAGCAGACACCAGCGGCAGTGGGCAGCGCCGCGTAATCGAGGGTAGAACGCGAGCCGGATGCTCGCGCTATAAGCTCCCACCACAGGGGGACGAAGCGTCGGACATCGTGCCGAACGACGCGCTGCACGCAGCACAGCGGTGAAAACCTGCGTAGCAGTTCTACCAGTGAGCAGTTTGCATCTCATGTATGGCCTGGGTATCCACTAGGTTGACTTAGCCTAATATCATACGTGCATGGTAAGCGTCGCCACTCAGGCGACAAAGGCGGCTGGGCTTGGTGCTGGTCACCCACCGCCCCGTGTGCCGCAGTGCCAGGAGGTGCTGCTCGCTAGCAGTCTCTCCAGGCCATGGGGGGGAGGATCTTTGTCTCTGTGCGTCACTGTGGTCTGTTAATGCATAACACCTTGATCCGGCCCGACCTACAAAGCTAAGCGCATGTAGCCTGGTGCTGTCACTCCCACCCCTCTCCCACTCTCCTCTTGATAGTGAATGGCAGCTCATCATCCCTAATGGGTCAATAAACGTTAGTACCACTTTGTAGAAAGTCGGCAGTGGTTGCCCAATGGGCACCGCGGCCATAGGAATGTAGAGTTGTCACCACTGGCTCTTGGTCACCCACACACTTAATTTTATTCTGGAGAAATGTGAGAAAAAAAACCTTGCCTTTAAACTGTAAAATGTATCACCCTGTTATTTGCAGTATTCTTCTTCTTCCGTGCGGCATGTAAGCAACAGTTTTGTATCGATGTCAAAGTTGAATGTTAAGGGCCTTCGACCAATCCGTACGGCGGCAGTAGACGCCGTACGGATTGCAGCGATACCGCCGGGGTGTGTGGCGTGGACGGCGCAGACTCGTCGGCGATGCGCTTTGACGGTGTGGCCTTCACCACAGTCGCAGATTGGTTGAACCTTCGATTTCCCACTTATGGAACGACGTTGTACGACAGCCGCACATCCTCCCGTGCTGCGTCCGAGCCGCGGTTCGGTGTTTGCCAAGTGCAACGCTGTTTTGGATTGCCACGATCATAGTCGCCCACCGTTATTTGTCAGCGCAGCATGAACGTAAACATTTCCTTATACGTATTAAAACAATATATATTTGGAAAAAAAAGCACTTCGTTCCACTGGATTTACATCGCTGGCTCTCCGCTTTATTTCCAGCGTTTTTCTTTAATGGCCTTGGGCGGTAAATGCGGGCACAGTGGAAATGGCACCGTCGTTTAGCCCGGACCTCGACGCTGGCAGTCACGCTCTCGGTTAATATTACATCCGGACGGAATGCCAGCGGATTTCTCTGCTTGTGTAAACTTTTCCCCCCGCCATCCACGCGAAACGGGGGGGGGGGGGGGAGGCACGCCGTGTCCCTGCAAGCACCACCTGTTACCAGTGTGGCTTGGCACGGGCCCCCAAATGGGCAACTCAGGCCAGGGGCGTCTGGACCGGAAATAATAAAGGAGCGAGGTGGGGGTCTTTTTGTCTTTTTTTTACTTTAAGCCGGACCCTCTGTGGGTTCCCTGGTACAGGGCGGTACTATAGGCTTGGAGTGGTGGAACGGGGTGGGGGTGCAGGAGGGATTGGTGGTTAATGACGCATGCAAGAATGGAACAATGGACCAGGGGGGGGGGGATTAAACGGGAAAACTCAGCCATCGAAATGACTTACTCCTGAAGCTAAGGTGAGAGCCCCCTTGCAAGACAACCGGTTTCTTTGTTCACTGGATGTGCAGGATAAATGTGTAAACAGATATAATTTATCGTGATAATTTACAGCTCTTTGCTCAATCCGCTGCTGGATGAAAGCCTCCCCATTCCGCGTCGTCTCGGGTTGAGGGGCCGACATGGGAGGTGAACGCTGGCCGATTGGTCGTTTTGAGTGCGAAGGCTCTGACTGAACGTTGTCGGTCGTGGGGGTTGTTTAACCATACTTCGCCGTGCTGGTTAGTGCCGATTGATTTAAAGGGATGGAGAAACCCAGCATTGGGTGAAATATTCACCACCAATGTTCGCCGTGGCTCAGTCTCGGATTTATTTGCTTCAAGACTTTTTTTTATTGTTTTACCATCTCAATTCGTATTGCTTCTGATCTATATATTTTGCGTGTAATTTTGTAATGGGTTCAACTGAGTTGTAGACTTGGACGCAACACATGTATTCAGTTCCAACACATGGGGTAATTTCCCCTTAACAGAAATACAACCTAAGGTGGTGACCACCAGGCTAACTGCACTAGTTACTACACTAGTAACTACACTAGTTACTACTTAAGTGCTACTACGGACCGGGACCAACAGCTTCGGCCTGGGTCCACGTGTTGGAGACTCGTTGAACGGAGATCGTAGACGAAGGATTTCTTCCAGGATGAACAACAACCCCGGTCCCTCTCGGGACCCGGCTGATATTCTCTGTGGCGTGGCCGGCTCTGCCCTTGGCCACATCCACCTTCCAGAATCCTCGGGAAGGATCTGGGTCCCAGTCACGTGACCCCCCCTAACCCCCTCTTGGGGCCCCTTTGTCAACACGTGTCCTCCCGGGTCAACCAGAGTGCCATGGCCTCACATAACCTCATCCTTTACCCACACACCCTGTCCTGTAGGATCGGCACTGCACTTAAAGCGAGGTGCCATCCAGCGCTACCTTGCCCCTCTATGGCCCGTACTACACTCACAATATTGTGGTGTCCCGCGATGTCGCTACATCGCACGCCATGCCCCTCTAGGGCCGGTACTACACCCACAGCATGTGATGGCACTACAATTTGAATAGCTTTGTTTGCTTCACCGAGCTGCATTTGGCAATAGCCGTACACCTTTTCTACAATTCCTCAACGATCGATTCGCAGGCGTCATGTGATGCGTAACGAACGTAGAGGGATTGAAGACACCGCACTCTGCACGTCGAACCTCCAATTGGTACGGTTGGCTAGGTACGGTGCCAAAGAAGTTCAACGTATGTACATACAAACTTGGCAAAAACCGGTCCAGACTTTGCTTATATGGAGCCAAACGCTGCTGAAATTATGCTTCCCACAAGGCCGATGGGATGCGTAAAAGTAGTTTTTCTTTAGATTTTCTACGCGGAGGGACAGATATGTATTAAGGGGACGTATCCGTCTGCGTATTTGGTCTGTCACTGGGAGGTCTGTGTGCCAGTGATGTCTGGCACGCTGCCTTTCTCCTACTCCTCCTCCCTCCACTCATTCCTCTCGTGGGCCATCTCCAACGTCCACTCCACAGTCTCCTTCAGAACCTGGCTGTGAAACCACCTCGTTCATGACCAAAATAAACGGCGACTTGAAGCCTTCTCGAAGCCTGCCTCTCGGTTCTCCAACCTGGCGCTTCCACGTCCGTCGCCTTTCTCGTCCCGATGTGGTTTTCCTCTCTCGTCACGACGCGTCCTTCCCCAGTCAATCCCAGTCTGAGATGGGTTCCACTCACCCCTAACCCTAACCGGCATCTCCTCAGCCAATCAGAGTAGAATTTCTCTCCGCTGGTCTGAGATGGCCACCTCCACTCTCGCCATCTGGCTCGCCTCTTCCTTTCTGCCCCAGTCCGGCCTTGCCCTGAGATCGGTCTCGTCGTCCTCATTTCTGCGGGGCACAACAATCTGCTCCTCCCCAGGCTTTCACAGTCCCGACCTGTCCAGGCCCAGAGTATACGTGGGCCAACGGAACGTGCGTTCGATAGCGTGGGTGAGGAACCCTGCGGCTGATTATGTTAGAAGCGGCGCTCGATGGAGCTCGCGTTGTGATATGCCTAAAAATATCAGGCGCTCGCTCGTGCGCGGTCAAACAAAAGGGAACTGTAACGCAATTAGCGTAGCGATGGCTTCGTGCGTGAGCAGGCCGGGTGCGTGGGCTGCCGAGGATAGGCACTCAGTTACATAACACTGCGGTGAAACGATGTGGAAATATTATGCACTCCTGTATGCATACACACACTCACAAAACAATGCAATAGGACACGCGTACAAAAGAGACAGATCTTCCGTGTAGGCTACACAGACTGGTTTTGGCTGGCGCCTATGAAGGCCGTCACTGCACACGACGGGGTGGTGTGGCCAGCGCAACGCCCAGCTGCCTCTGCCTTCACATCGCTGACGTTAGCAGAGCAAGATATGTGTTCATTTCAGGCTTCAGTTGAACAAGGGGAGGCCTACAGCGGGTTCGGACACCACGTAGCATTCAGATACAATGTAGACTCATACACAACCTCAGGAACGTGTCTTGAGGGTACACCACCGTGAAGCTAGACGGATTGTTGCATCGCATGACCGCCTTTGTCTTCTTCCGTGCGGCTAGCTGATGTAGATGCTAGAGCAACGGCTTCACTTTCACATTCAGGTGGTCAAGCCAGACAACCGCGTGAGGAGCAGCGGAGTGTGTCGCTGTGACGATGTCTCCTTCGTATTTCGTGGATCGGGGTCATTGTGATGTATGCACCGTACGGTCTCTGTTCTGGATGACCACAGTGTCACCACAACTACTGAAGAGTTTCTAATTGTCCATCCGTTCATCGTCAGGGTATCCGCATCTGATGCTGCCATGGTGTGTGCAGTGGGTGATGCAGTATAGGGTGCACCATGAGCAGCTTTGTGGAAGATCAAACCCCAGGGAACTTCTGCGTTGGGTCTTCCATATCAATGTGGTGTTTGTTTGCGAGTTCTTTAGAACTCCATTCAGCTCTTCATGCTTCATCGGGGGTTCAATTCGCGTCGTTGAAGGTTAAGGCAGGACTGTGGTGTTGAAGAGAGGGGGCCTTCGTATAGCCGCAGATAGAT